TATAGTTTAAAGATCAGATAGAGGTGATTGCAATTCGAATTGTAACCATTTATATAAAAAAATGTGCTGATAGCGGGTTTTGCAGAATAATGAAAATGTCAGTTCTGTAGATGTAAATGTTATGTTAAACTAAGTTTTTAAGTTTAGGTCTGCAAACTCGTTCCCTTCTATTCCGACGTGCCCAAGTAACCAAATAATTTTAATGGTGTTTTTGTGTCGAAAGAGTATTTCACGTGATTTCGAAATTATATGAGATTCATAAGCACTGTTAAAGAGAGCTTCGATGGCTGATTTACTGTCCGTGCATGTGAAGAAATTTCCTTCGTTTTTAGAGGTGAAAGGTACAGCTTCTAGCAATTGTAAATGCCGAGCAGTACGCGGAAAAGCACCGACGACTATTGTAAAACCTAACCCCTTTGTTACTGCAAAAGAAAAGCCGGTATCATATCTGGAACAGTCGTGTGAAAATAAGCTCCCAGGTTATTTACGAGTTTAGAACTGGGCAAATGCCCTTGCGGTAGAGTTTTTACTTTAGTAGGCATCGGAGTAGATATGATGTCCAAATCTTTGATGTAGCTTAATCTACGAATTAAAGCTGATTGCTCGCTTCATCGGTTTTTTTTTGTTGAAAGCAGGATTCGACGTGAGACAATAAAGTCTAATATTTGCAGTGAGCAATCTTTGGGATGAACATCTTTGTGTTGTACTTTACCTCATGGTTATGGTTCTTCTGACTGCTGCATGGTAAGGTATTTCTTGCAATTTAAGATGCTTTTCGCGCAGTGTCCGTAAATTACGAGTCCAAAGTCAATTTTTCCTAATATAAAAGCCCTAATTACATTTATCAGTGAAGTTATATGAACTAAAGAATACTTGGATGATAAAAACTTTATAACATTTAGTCTAGCAAGTAAGCTTAATCTTACATTATGACACTGCTGCTTAAAAGTAAGTCTATTGTCAAAAATATTTTCAAAGTGCCAGTGTTGTGGATACATTTGTGTTTTCTGAATATGTGAAAACCCGAAATCTTAGCACCTGAAGATCTTGCCTTACCAACTGCGGCAAGTCCTTAGTCTTAGAGAAAATATAATGGAGCTAACTTACACAAAGGCTATCATAAAATAACCAAAAGTGGTGCTCCTTGTGGGGCACCATTAAAGAGAGGGACAGTTTTTGAATAACAGTTATAGACCCGAACAGCGAACTTCCGCTTGTAAAGGAAAGACTTAACAACATTGTACATCCTCTCAGTATTTTTCCAGCGTAATACTTTAGATATGCAGAGGAGGAGGGAAATAGGTCTGTAGTTAGAAACTAATGAATTGTTTCTATTTAGTTTGCCAATAGGAATAATAATAGCAGTTTTCCACTCTTGGTGACCCGTGAGATAGAATGGAGTAATGGAGTTTAATGACTCTATGTTTGACGAGATATGGAAGATTTTTTTGTTGTATCAAATTTGGTTTCGGTTGGACAGATATACCGCATTAGGTAGAACTAGTTAAGCCTGGGCAAAACTAGTTTGACCTAAGATCGGATTTCACCGGTAACATACATACATACAGACATACATAGGCACATGTAACTTACATGCCACAAAAAATGTTATTAAAAACAATTTTCTACCAAAATTGTGTAGATAGAGGATTTTACTCTTATAATAAAATGTTATTGGAGATAGTGGAATTTTCAAAATGAGAATATAATACCATTAAAGCTATATTTTAAGTTTGACATTATTGTCATGGCTGAAAGATTAATCGGAGCTTACGTTACCAACGGGTAATTTTCATCAAAATTGCAGATAGAGGGTATTGAATATAAGCCCTCGATATACCGACATCAGTAAAGCACTTGACAAAGTATGTGACTCGTTGCTCATCTATAAACTTGATCTTTTTGGTCTTCAACCTAATTTTCTACGTTGGATCTCTTCATATCTCGATGAAAGATCACAAAGGGTAATGTTTAAAAATACTATTTCTGACGTTATTGATGTTACTTCAGGAGTACCGCAGGGTAGCCACCTAGACCCGATTATGTTCTGGCTTTTTATAAACCATATTTCTACAGATATGCAATTTTCCCCAAAATTTTAATGTACGCAGATAATGTGAAACCTTATACATAAATTGTACGTATCAATTAAAGAAAAGCCTTTGCTACAAGCAGACTTAAACAGCATGGCTAACTGGTGCTATGTAAATCGTATGCCTCTAAATCTGAAAAAAAAAAAAACGTAAGGTAATGTGCTTCCGCGAAGAGCTGTTCAGCCACATTCTTATACAGTAGATAACCATAACTTGGAACAGGTATATAATTTTGTGGACTTTGGTATCACAATGGATCCTAAACTTAATTTTAATCTTCACATTAATGTGACAGTCTACAAGTCACTAAAACCCTGTTTACAACATTAGTTAGACCGATTCTGGAATACGGTTCGGTGGTTTGGAATCCAAGGTATCAAATTTACTCAGACAAGATATAATCAATTCAAAAACAATTCCTACTTTTTGCTTTAAGAAATTTCGGTTGGGATTTTCAATATAACATTCCGCCTTATACGAGCCGATTAAAACTTATTAATCTTCCTACGCTTGTCAGTCGCTGGGAAATGCTTGGTACAATGTTTATGGTTAAATTACTGACAGGCTCAATTTCAAGTCCGCTTCTTCTGGGTGAAGTTAGCCTTAATGTTCTTTCTCGTGTGTTAAGACACTTTTGTCCCCTACTTTTGAAAACTTGTAAAACTAATTTCGAATTACACGAGCCACTCCGTAGCTTATGCCAGGATTTTAACTCTCATTCCAGCACGTTTGATATAACAGATCCGCTTTCCAGCATTAAAAAAGCGATACTATCCTCTCTCAATAAATGAATTACTAACATAAAGACATAAAATCAGCTGATGCACTTAGTTCTGTAGCTGAACAGTTTTAGATCTCGACACTTAACAAACTCCTGCCTTTCGTGACTCGTCACAAAAATTTAAAATAATGGTTCTGTACGTCATGCGGGCTGCGACCCTCGTGCGGATGGGCGGGAAAGGAGTGTAAAACCATTGGAATTATTATTGCAAGACATATTTACGCATGTAGACTCCACGTCGACACAAAAAGACGCAAACGCGTATTGGCTTGCTTTACATACCTACATATGTACGTACGTATGGCTGCATAGTGGAGCCCCGATCAAAGCGACAATAAAAGCGAAGAGAACAGAAACAAAATCGCTTCAATTTGACTTGATACTTCGCTTGAATTCTGTGAGCAGACACACTTGTTTTTGATGTTGTTGTCGCGTTTTTCGTTTCATCAAGTTTCAAGTCACTACCGCCGGTAAAGAAGTTTTCTCTTCAAAAAATGTTTTCCAAGATAAGTGACATTAGGGTCAAGGGGCAGGGATGGTATCTTTAGGGATTGCACTCCGAAGTTCAAGCCTTAATTTAAGCCTAATTGGAAGGTAATCTAACTTCACCAAAATCAGTTTTTCCTGTTCAATAAATGTCTACAGGCCAGTATGCAGCTCTCAAGAAAACCAAAAACTCCATATAAAATGACGTACAAGAAATGGCGAAGTAATTTTCTTGTGTAAAATTTTCTTGAGTCGGACGCAGTTGTTAAGAAATTTGCTACGCTTTCTACGGCAACCCATGCTTGCAACAGAAATATGTATATGCCCGTTCCATTATTTCTTGAGGAAAGAGTGAGGCAACAGGCTGGTGAAGTATCAGATGTGAAAACTCCTTGGACACACACACACGAAATAATGGCAATTTTCTTCGTGACCGTTTTCTTGAGAGCTGCATACTGGCCTTATAAGTGATCATCAAGGAAAGCTGCAGGAGTGGTATTTTCAGGGATAGTAGTCGAGAGTTCTAGCTTTAATTTAAACCTTCCACGGTTCTATCCCTTTTTGTTTCTGTGCAAGATATTGCAAAACACTTTTTTTACACTTTGACCTCATTTTTCTATAAATATGGAGCTGATGGAAACGTTACACTTACGGATTCGTAATCAGAACAAACAAGTCTATCAAAAACCACTTTAACATTTGCCGCACCAAATTTTGTTTCCATTTTTTGCTGGCCTGTATTATTTTTAGAAAAATGTTTAATGAATGGTACTATATTATTACTCAAAGAAATATTTATTTATTCATTCACTAGGCACTAGGCAGTTACAAAACTACACATAAATAATTTTGACCAGCTTTTGAAGGCAAATACCCCTACGTGGGTCGACGCATTTGAAGGAGGAATGGAAAAAGTATATGATGAAAAATGAATAGCTGGAAAACGGTTTGTACAAAGTACAAAACTAAAAAAGGAGTACATTTCCAAATTTTTTTTTTTGGGAGTAAAAGGGAGTACATTGCAATAAAAAAGAGTACGTTTACTCCCAAAATCAGTACGTCTGGCAACCCTAATGATGGAGGTCAACAGACTTCGAATTCGCATTCGTCGCGTCCAATAACAAGGGGATATAGACGGTTTGGTTCAATATGCATAAACTTATTTTTTGTAAACCTGCTGTCTTATCCATCACTAAATATATGATCTTAAAGCATATCATTGTTATTTCTGTAAACAAAGAAGTTTGATCAATTCGAACTTTGGTATTTTATATGATTTCTGATTTTCTAATATATGAGTTTATGATAGTGCTAAACAATTTTTACTTCCGGAAATGTCTCTGGCGAATATTGAACGTTAACTTTCCTTTTTGCTTCCATGACTGCCCCATGAATTTCTGTTTTGATACAAACAAAACATAAACAAAGTTAACTGGTTTTTCTTCTTCTTCCTGTATTTGCAAAGTGGCAAATTTTCTGTTCGTTAACTGTTTTGGGAGGATATTCACTTACGCTCTAGATTTGGGTTGATAGCGACATTTGTTATCGATCACAACAAATATATTTCAAGAATGCGAATTTCGAAACCAAGCGACGACATAAACGCCAACGATATAGAAAATATAATCGAAACGACAACCTAAATGTTAAAATTTTTATTAACTTATGTTTCTGAAGATTTATTCTTTAATTTATATGATGGCCTCCTCTGTGTCAGTTTGAGGCGGATGCTTAAGAACATGATCAATTAAGCCCTTTTTTTTAGCCTCTTCGGGTGACATAAAGTTGTCTCGTTCCATACACTGCTGAAGACTATCGTAAGGTTGCCTCGTATGCTTTACATAAATATTTATCAATTGCTTTTTCAGCTTTATAATCTCTTCCGCCTGAATTTGGATGTCCGTTGCTTGGCCCTATAATAAATAAAAATAATATTCAATATACTTACATATTAGCATATATGTATAGCGCTTTTAACATATTGTCGGTGATACTGCAAAAACGTTCTATGTCACTTATTACCTCTGGTGCTTAATTAATCTGTTATCTGTATCTGATCGCTTCTGGCAATTGTTCATCTTCATCAGCCAAAGGTAGACGGTTTTGTCATTCGTTTATTAGGGTGTAACGATTTGCAGTTGCATTCCGCTGCAAGTAAGAGACCATCTAAGTGTCAAGGGTTCTAATATACATAGACCGTTTTGCAGTATCACGGGCGATATTCATAAACGTACGTAAATATAACTTAAGAAAATACGATTTTTTTCAAATAATACTGTGGAATAGAAATTTTTGGGAGTCAACGAAATTATCCTCAAATATTATTATCCATGCGTGGTAGTCAAACTAAAAAAAAGATTTTACCCGATCTCATAACAGTACACAGTGGCCAATTTTCCGAAAAAAACCCTGGTCAAAAGTCTAAAAACAATATTTCGTAAATTCGTATCGTTATGAAACAATAAGTCGATTCTCAAAAGGCAGTTTGTGTGTGCTTTTTCATTGCAACGCTATCTAAAAACTGAGATCAAGCATACCACGGTTGGTCTTTTTGTGTTTACTTATTATGGTACGTTATGAAAATGGTTACGTGAGTGGTCGATATGAGCGGTCTACTTTTTTCATATAAATTTACTAAAGTATTTCGCATCAATTTTGGTTACAATCGGCTGCCCTAATCTCCCACTGTAGTTTTGACTTCAGTTTTTATCTCGCGAACAGTACGCACTTAGGATAAGTTGATGCAAATAGCTTTTCTTAACAAAAGCGATACAAAATCAAATTTATATAAAATTTCCAATGTACTATATGGTACGTATATTACAAAAAAAAAACAGAGGACATGATAATAGTAACCTTTAATATATAATTTATTTAATATTTTAAGCATACACAGCGAACATTTTGGATCCGCTATTTTGAATTTCGAACTTATGTCGTGAAATTTAAAACCAGCAACCAAAAATATGTTTACATAAGGTTTGGTTAAAATTGCACCACTTTTCGACTTTTGGTCGGGTTCGGAAAATTGGCCACTGTGCAGTAGCCCGGAGCGAAAAAAAAAAAATTTCTCAAACCGAATCGTAATAGCAATGAAAAGTTGCTGCACATGATACAAATTCAGGGTTAAAAAAAATTTTCAAATCGGTTAATATCTTCCGTTCGCGTAAATATATTGTTTGGTTAAAAATAGAAACAATTTTGCAATTGGTGTAAATCAGTGTGAATATTGTTCGATTTGGATGTTTGTGTATTACGACCTTATAGTTTAAAGTCAAGAAAATTTATAACCCTCCCGTTTTCTCATTTTTACAGTGACTAGGGGGGTAAATGAAATTCTGCATGTCTTAACCGCCTTCAAGATAGATTTTAAAGCGTTGCGTATAAGATACGAAATGTCACTGTTTTAATTATAACCAGTAAGTGTTTTAGTTGGTCTTCCACTCGGTCACTCATATTCCCATACGTTTTCCTTTTCATTTTGTTTTTGATTCTGGTGTTTCGAGAAACGAAGTGCACTTAAGAGCTAGTGCTCCCCGGTCATTATAGGTTCCAGTTTTGCTCTTGGCGAACTGCCCTAGTGGCAAATTCTGTAGCTCATCAGACTGAGTCCCTCTATTCTAAGGCTTCGATTCCAACAGTTCCCCACACAAGAGTTGTCCAAAAGTTCAAACAGCTACTCGATTGTTACTACGCTCTTCGTAATCTTATTCAAGGGACAAAGACTTAGCTGGGAATCAAAATAAGTACAATGATTTTATTGAACAATCTTCAAGTACATTATTTGACATATCATTCTGCAAGTGCAGCAAAATTAGCCTGCCCAATCAGGGCAACAAGTAGGAAACCAAAACCTCCATGGTAGTCCACTGAAATTGCAACCCTCAGAAGGGAATGCAGATCAAAATTTAATGAAGCTAAGAGATCCAACTCTTGGAGTGAATTTAAAGACTGGCAACGCCGATTTAA